TGAAAAAAGTGTGCCTTTGCACAAAAAAGGTTGAAAAACACTGGACTAGCACATATATCCGAGGGGAAACTTTACCTTTATTTGAGGTTTACTTCCTGTAAGCTGTTTAGAGTCACTATGAGTTGACTTATGAATGTAGTTAGTTAGTAAGGTAGGAAGGAAGGTAAGTAACCCTCTTTACATGTTCGATATTAAGTGCATTAAGTATCATTTTAACATTTTAACTTCTTTCTCATCTGTACTCCTAGAAGAAACGGGACAATCTCAGACCAACTTAGATTCCCCAGAACCTGTCAGAACCTGCTGAATACCACCTCTGCTACCAGGGTTCAACCTCTGAACTGCTTTTTGAAAAGAAAAGAAAAAAGAGAAAGAAATAAATGCCTCAGACTGAAGGCAGCTTTTATTAAAAAGTAACCAAAGTTGGTTTATTAGCAAAGACAACAGAAAGGCATCATGGGAATAACAAGTAGATTGGTTGCTCTGAAATACAGAACATCATTGAGGTTTGAGGAAACACGGCGGACAGCACCAGACGGAGTCACTTTGGGGCACCAGAAGGACAGTGTGCCACAAAAAAACAAGAGGACAATTAAAGTCGATCCAGAGAAGGCAGATGTCAGCGGTTAACATTTATAATAGGCGCCTTCCGGCAGCAAAGGAGAGCAGAGGTGCTCCCGTGTCTTGCTGTTACAAACACCGTCATATTTATTATTATTTTTTACAAATACCAACCTATGTGACGCTAACGTCGTACCTTTCAAGTAGGCTCCTCAAAACTTCCCAGTGGCCAGGCCAGCCTCAATTCATGGAGCACCTTGGCTGCTTGGGATAATATTTTGGCACAAAGAATTGTCCAGAACGACAAACAATGTCCCGGGTGCATTGTATTTTCATCCTGCCAATTTTACCGCGGAGACCGCAGCGGCGTCTCCTAAACCTTAGGAAACTCCTGCGGTGGGGAATAGGACTTGTTCAAGATCATCCATGAGCTTCGTGGAGAAGCGAGGTCTCCAAAGCTAATCCCATCGGCTTCTGGATTTCCCCAGAGCCAAATCGAGGCATTCAATGTGGGCACGTTTGATACCCGCCGAGCTTTGCCATCCAAAAGGGATATTCTCGTACATCTCAAAGGCGGCTGGATTCCCTGAGCTGAACAACACAGCACTCTAGGAACGGAAAGCAGTGTAAAATATTCATATGCCGTAGGAAATTCTGGCTTGTGATTTATTATCCTGGATTTTTCCTTCCTGCCACAGAAAATGTGTGTGTGTGTGGGGGGGGTTTCGGTGGAGATTCACACAAGGTCAAATTGTTTTCCAATTCATTTCCGTGGAGGTCCACACCGCAGCTAAGTTCCCATCTACATTACACCACACTTACATCACTCTGTGTGTGCTATCTTACGAAAAAGTCTTTGAAAATGAAGGAGGCTTATTCAATTTCAGCTGGGCCTAGACCAACAAAAACGTCTGAAGCAGAGGAATCTCTCTCTCTCTCTCTGGCTCTATGTTTGTGTGTGTGTGCGTGTGTGTTCCAGCATAACTCTAGAACGCCTTTCAACCAAACTTGGTACACAGATGACTTACTCTCTGGAAACAAATATTGTGAGGGTAAGACACTCCTAACACCCCTCAGAGGTCTCTGTGTGTGTGTTCTGTTAAGATACAGCCTGTTGTGCTTTAAAATGGCTTCTACCGTACTGCCGTAAAATGGCTTCTACTGTACAGCGCAGTGGAGTTGCCATGGTAACGGCTGCACAGTACTCCACAAAGGGGCTCCCTCTGGTAAGGGGGAAAATCCAACATTAGAAATGAAGTTTGGTCCGGACATTTCCCCCCCTTATAAATAAATACCCAGGGAACGGCGGGGTATCAACTAGTTCTAAATAAACAGGGGTGGGGGATTAATTTTCCCAAGAGGCCCACATGAGAAACTGGAACTGTTGTGAAGGATTGAACCAATGGGGCTGGGAAGGTGCATGGGATATATGTAGATTGGGGAAAAAAAGGAAAAAGCAGTTTCCTTCAAAATAAAAGCCACCCGCTTTTATTTAGAAAGACGGGAATAGCCACAGATCTGGATCTGCCCCTGGGAGCCATAAAATACTACTAAGAAATTCCAGTTGTCCGATTTAATACTCAGTGACTGTAGGGAAGAAATTCCTGCTTCTATTCCATTATCAGCGCCCACTTCTTGTGACCCTACAGATAGTCCTCGAGTTACAACCGTTTGTTTCAAAGTTACACCGCTACTGAAAAAAGCGACTTAGCACCGTTTTTTCCCCCACACTTAACGACCGTTGCAGCTTCCCCATGGTCGTGCGATCAAAATTCAGGCGCTTGGCCTCTAACTCATATTTATGACAGCTTGGCCATTGGCTCATATTTATGACGGCGGCCGTGTCCTGGGATCACACGATCCCCTTTCGCGACCTTCTGATCAAGCCAAGTCAACGGGGAAGCCGGATTGGCATAACCCAGCCACCCCTCCCCCGGTGTTGCTAACTTGACAGCTTGGAGTGATTCGCTTAACGACCGTGGGGAGGACGCTGGCAAAATGGGGCACGATTCGCCTAACGAATGTCTCGCTTAGCAGCAGAAATGTTGGGCTCGATTGTGATCGTTAAGTTGAGGACGGCCTGTAGTAAGATCCACAGGAAGGAGAGACTCTTCAAGACAGCAGATCAAATGAAATGAGGAAGCAGATAATTATCAACTCGGTTTCTGTCCCTTTAGGATGTTTTCCTCTTATGACACAGTGGCTTGTCTGACCAGGAATGATATTAACATGGTTCTCTCCCACCTGGTGTCCTGCATTAATAAACATGTATGCAAGGCGCATGAGACACCACTAGTGTTATGAAAAAGCAAGTCAAATGAAGCTTAATCCTGTTTTGATGCACATGGTGAGTTGGTGGTTTTCCATCAGGTTATTGCAAACTTTCTGCTGCCTTCTCCAATTCAGTACCTAATAAATTCAAATCCGCTGGTAAACAGAATGCAAGGTAAAAGCTTAGCACCCTGAGAAGGCATTAAATTATGGGGGAAACCAGTTTATCGCATGCAATCAGGTTGCTCGTGGCACGCGGAACCAGGTCTGCAAGTATCTCCACATGCCTTCAAAATGAAGATTAATTTTAGCCTGAACAGAGCTTTGGTAAGTAATTTGGATAATGTGTCTTTTGGGAGTTAGGAGCTTGTGAATTATTCAGACATTTGCACAATCAACGTGATGATGATGATGTGCCAAAATCCAGGAGAGCATACAATGTGTTCAAATGATTGGACCCACTGGGTTAAATCAAAGGTTTATGCTAGGGAACTTTGCAACTTTTACTTCAACTCCCAGAATTCCCTAGCGAATTCCCCATGCTGGCTGAGGAATTCTGGGAGATTGAAGTCCACAGGTCTTTAAAAGTTGCCAAAGTTGGACACTTCTGGTCTACGAAGTCTCCTAGATTTCCACACAGAACATGAGTGACTTGCTGCTTTACAACACACTAGGTTTCTAGCTTAAATTATGCAAACACACAGAAAGAGTCCTAGATAGTCTTATAAGCTAAGTTTCTAAGCAAGAATTTTGGCACAGGTGATTTTCAGTTCCAAAGTACTGCCTGTTTTCTAAAAGAATATTATTATTTTCTTTAAAAAAATCTGCATTTAGGACAAAAAAAAAAGGAGAATCCTTATAGCAGATATTTCAAAATAAGACGGAACAACAATGGACGATGTGAGAAAAATAATGGCTCTCTTATTTCTTCCAGCCAGTTCACGCAATTCATCCCTTTCATCGTTAAGTTAGGAGGTTGCCTCTTGATAGAGATTTAAGGTGTGTGCTTGAAAACTGATCTACAAAAAGTTTCTTACAACCCCCCCCCCAAAAAAACATAAAAAATAAAATTCCCATCATCAATTATTCCTGCTCTGCAGAATGAGCTGGCAGTTTGTCACATGGAGATAAGAACATTATAAAAAAAACCTCTTCAAGATTTCTTGCTAAAAAAGTGCCGGGATAGAGAGTCATGATCAGCTTTTCAGTTTGCCAAATTACCGTATTTTTCGGAGTATAAGACGTACCTTTTTCCCTCAGAAGAGAGGCTGAAAATCTGGGTGCGTCTGATACACTGAATACAGTATTTTTTGCCTTCCACCCCTCGCTCACCAAAATGGCCGTGCATAGCCTGTAGGGGGCTTTCAGAGTGCTCCTGGGGGCTGGGGAGGGCAGAAATGAGCAAAAAATGAGCCAATCTTTGCTCAATTTTGCCCCCTCCCCGCCCCCAGGAGCATTCTAGAAGCCTCCTACAGGCTATGCATGCAATTTTTTTGACAAATAACGGGCCCCTTTATGCGAAAAACGGGCCTTTTTTTGCTAGTTTTTGCCCCCCCCCCCAGGAGCACTCTAAAAGCCTCCTAAAGCTTATTCATGCCTTTTAAAAAAAACGGGCCCATTTTCACGAAAAACAGACCATTTTTGGGAGGTCTGCAGAGTGCAAAAATCTTTTTTGCCTCTTCAAAACCTTGGTGCATCTTATACTCCGGTGGGTCTTATACTCTGAAAAATACGGAACTTCAAATTAACTCTTTGTCCAATTGGTAAGAAATATCCAAGAACACAAGTGCTCTGCTCTTTTGCATTATGACCCTATATCAGAACTTCCTAAGCTTTAGGGCAGGAGTCCCCATTCCCTGGGCCGTGTCCCACTACCGTGCCACAACTGGTTTGAAACCGTGCCGCAACCGGGCCACAACTGGTTCGACACCAGGCCATGTGAGAAATGGGCAAGTGTTTGCATGAAAGTCGAGGGTGGCATTCACTTACTTTCCCTACCTACCCTACCGGTTCGCAAATGTGAGTGCCCGCACATGTGCTTTGGCTTGAAAACGTGCCATAGAGCTGGGGCGGGTGGCCAGGCGGGCACGATTTCCACTACTGGTTTGGGTGAACCGGTCCAAACCGGTTGAATACTACTTCTGATGAAGCTCCACATGCGTGAATGGAAGGCGATTGCGCTCATATGCGAAGCTCCATTTGCTCACTCAAGTGTGTGCCTCTGCCACTCACACACACCCACTGCGCCAGTCTGCCAAGCTAGAGAGGTTGGAAACCGCTGCTTTAGGGTGACTTAAGAGATCTCAACGGATCTACTTGGAAAAAGTTTGGGGCACCCCAGCTGCTCTACGGCCAATTTGCTGTCCACGCAATGATGACTTTATAAGAACCAGAATAGTCTGTGACAAGTGACACATAAGCATTGCTCAACTTTCAGGGATAACCCTCACGCTTTTCTGAGCTGCCATTGCTACTATCCAGTAGTAAACCAAGATAGTAGCCAATAAGTAGTACATATCACAGCTGCACTAATGGCAGGGATGGTAGTGACACACCTGAAGGAATCCAAGCAAGCTTGGAGAACATCAAGAAACCCATATTGGTAAGATCTCCGCAACTGCTTCTATGGATCTGTTGGTCCACCAAAACGACACGAGTCTTATAGAGACCCTTGTTGTCCCTCAAGGCATCTGGGTTTCAAAGGGAAGCCATTACTTCATCCTTCCATCTGGAGGAACTGGTGTGGAAAAAGAGTTTCCGCGGAAGTTAAGTTCATACGAACGGCGCGACCAAGGCATCATCGGAACGGCCAATCCTTCATCCGTCAACTGAACTGGGGGGGAAATCCAGGGGCATCTCGCTGTCCCATACATACATTTCCATATTGTGCTTCTTCTTCTACCTCCAAAGTAGACATGGGGCAAGGCATCTTTGTTTTTTTGTGTGTGTTTGTGTTTTAATTCAACCAGTTCTTGCAAAGAGAATTCAACAGGCCAAAACAAGGGAAGAGGTCTGGGAACCATAGCGAGATTGGAGAGGGCGTGGCGTGGCCCCCTCTGAGGTGGCTTTTTTTTACGAGATGAGTTTCGGTCCTTCCTCTTCTCGGATGGGTTTGGCTTTCATTGAGGTAGCTCCTTGGTAGAGTGGAAGCGTGCAAAGGTACCTTCCTTGAGCATTGCTTAAGCCAGAGGGGGGGGGGGGCTTCTCCAACCTTGGCAACTTGGTGGACTTCGATTCCCAGAATTCCCAGGGCTGGCTGAGGAATTCTGGGAGTTGAAGTCCACAAATTTTAAAGCTGCCGCAGAGGGGGAGACCTCGGGCTTAAGCAAACAAAACGCAAAGTTTTCGTTCTTCCCTTTTTTCCTCACAACTATAAAAATACCAGAAATGGCGGGAAATATTTTAGAAAAAAAAAATTGTAGGAGGTTTCTCCTCTTCCCCTCATTTTTTTTTTTTTTTACAATTTATAACTACCTATCTATCTATATAAAGACATTTCTTCCCCCTTCCCCTAAGGCGCAGGCCATTAAACTTCGGTCCCGTCGTGTAAATTGTTATGAACTTTCACTTCCAAGTTCATCGGCTTGACCTTTGCCCCGCGGACCTTGTAGGCGCCTTCGTTTTCGCAGAGAAGGTTGAGGTTCTTCACCGTACAGTAATGTCCGCTGACGTTTTTCTCCAGGCCCTCGGCGTACCGCTTGGCTGCCTCGACCTTGGTGTTGAGAGGGTACTGCTCCGCCACCTCCTCGGCAGCTTTCTTCTTCTTCTTCTTCCGGTGTTTCCGACACTTCCTGGTGACGAAGCAGATGGACAAGAGGACGAGGACGAGGAGCAGGACGGCCGCAAAGCCGCTGCCGATGGAGGCTCCGGTCTGGGAAAGAGAAGCCACGGTGATGGCTTCCTGTTGCTCGAGGCTGAGAGACTTCATGTTTGTGCCGTTCTTCATTTGATCCCCCTCGTTGTCGTAGATCAAGGAGTCGTCCACAACAGGGGCTCCCTTGTGGTCCACGAGATCTCGGCGGCCGCGCTTCAGGTGATGGACCACGGAACGCGGCATGCGGGACCCTCCAATCACCTCGGGACCGATGACGTAAATCACTTGGAGGTACCACTGGTGCCCGGCTTCCACCTGGCCAAAAAGACAGAACAAGCGCCACATGCAGAAGATGAGATTTCAAGATATACAGGGAGTCCTTGGCTTACAACAGTTCATTTAGTGACCAAAGTTACAGGCGGGTATTGAAAAAAAAGTGACAGGACTATTTTTCACACTTATGACCTTTGCAACATCCCCTTGGTCATATTGTTGTGCCCTCCCCCCTCCCCGGGGCCAGCGGAGCTGGCAGCAGATTCGGACAATGAGGATGTTGGGGAGGAACCTGGGCCAGTCCTGAAGTCCGGGGAAGGCTCTGATGAGGGCTCTGTGTCAGAGGCAGAGAGGGGACCAGGTCTATCCGACAGTTCTCAGCTGCCTTCGGAGTCAGACATCAGTGAGGCAGATGAACAGCTGGAGCCTGTTCCCAGTGCGTGCATGCGCAGAGCTGCCAGACGAAGGGAATAGCTAAAGAACAGGGGTTGACTTGGGAGTAAGGCCACAGGTGGACGATGAACGTCCCTTCCCAGAGGAAATAAAAGAGGAACGAAAGGGGAGTGGAGTTTGCAGGAGACAATTAGTTCGCTTCATTGGTTCGTGTCCCTCGAGATTCCTTGCCAAGTTTGTGGCCTTACTCCCAAGTC